CACCTTCGGCAAAAGTTTGATTTTGTCCGGCCATTTTCGAAAATTTGAATGACTATCAAAGCAAGCTCTGATACCACTTGTTAGAATCGCGCAGCGGAATGTTCGCGTGGTCAGACAAAAACCAAGAGGGGGGGTGAATTGGTTTCTTAATAAAAATTAGGTTTTCAAAATTTTCCCCAAATTTTACTCGATTAAAAACTGCGTAAATGTAAATAGAGAAGAGTAGAGAAGATTACACAGTAGGTTTATACTGGTTCGGATCAAAAGACCCTACATCCAATTGCTAATCACTCAAAAGAGGATTAACACTGTCACTAAGAACAAATTGTTACAAATAGATTACAAATAAACAGATAAAGATAAAAGATAACACCTCTCTTGAAACCCACAAGAGATGAAGAACAGCTTTCCCCAGAGACGGCACAACACACAATCCACTAAGAACTCCACTTAGTGATTCTTATCGCTTCTAGCCCACACCAGGTTCCAAAAGCCCCCTTTCCTTGCAACAAACAGTTCTCTGGCACTCACAGCACTTAACTTTTGTATGGAAAAGGTTGTTCTTGCTTTTCTGAGTGCCAAAGGAGAGTTTAAGTAGGGAAATTAGGGTTTAGAAAAAGGGGATTTCGAAACTAGGGTTCTTGGTAATTGGGTTTTCGAAATTAGGGTTAATTTGAAATTTAAAATGAAAAACAGACTGAAATAATCGATTAAATGGAGTTATAATCGATTAAAACAGAGCCAAAAAAACAGAACCCAAAACCTCTCTGTTTTAATCGATTATTTGAAGTTTTAATCGATTATTTGACCTAATAATCGATTATTTTGATGTTTTAATCGATTAAAACAGTGAGTATATACTGAAAATGGTTTTCTCATTGTTTTAATCGATTATTTCCCTATATAATCGATTAAAGCTGAGTCTGGATGATATATTTTGGCTTTTTGAAGCTTCTAAGTTGCAGACTATGTACCGGCTATCTCAAACTCTATAATTACAGACTCAATCTAATTAAAACAGAGTTATTACACTACATAAACAAGTCTTCAACACTCTAAGTCTTTGAGTTCTTGAATCATCATCAAAATCAACAATCTTCATGTTCATCAAGTGCAACATCAAGTCCTTGAATGTTCAACACTTTCTACATCGGTTCTTAAAGAACCGATGTAGAAATTTTTTTAACGACTTTCCACATAGGTTCAGATGGGAACCGATGTGGAAAGTCTTTTTATTTAAAAAATATATATAATAAAAATTTTAGACAGCGTCTCCCAGGCCCTTACAGACTCGACTCCCAGGCCCTTACAGACTCGCCTCCCTCTGGAATTTTTCCCTTGCTCCTAGCCATTACCAAATTCATTCTCCTGCACCTTCACCGCACCAAAACCTTCTTCGCCTACTCCTTGCCCCCATCGCAGTAGCGAAAACCACCGTCTCTCTCATCTCCTTCCCCAATCGAATCCCTAACCTCCGTTTCCCTTCACCCATCCTAGTGTCCCTCACTCTACGAACCAAACTGCAGCGAATCAACCTCCATCGCCCCAGTTGAAATAGGTGCACTTAGCACCACCCCCGCCGTGCACCAAGAACTGCGACGTGCACCAGGAACTGCGACGCGCACCAAGAACTGCGATGCGCCACCCTCGTCTTCACCTCTCTGAAACCCTCCAAGACTGATTCTGCCTGGTGTCGCCGCCGTCCGTTCCGTCGTCCTCGGGACGTCTCGAACGTTTAATGCGAGCGGTCGCGAAAAGATGGTTGAGACTCGCGTTTTTTGTTAAAATTGTGTTCATTGCTTCCGAGGTGCTCAACACTGAACTATCCTCTAATAGAAGCAAGGTTTTCGAAAAGGGGTTCTTTTGGAGTCGCCACCAATGTTTTGACCAGAAACATTGGAAAAGGAAAAAAGGCATTGATTTTATTAAAAACCAACTTGGCCATTATAACCAGAGTTGGGTAAGGGAGTTAGTTACGTGTGGGGAAGGTGTTAGCACCCCCACAACGCCCCTTTCGGGTTCCCTATGACGGATTTATTCATTAAGTGAAGATTATGAGAAATTACGCATTTACCCTTATTTTATTCGTACAGTTATTTAGATATGGTTATCTACATGATGTATCTACATTGCATATAGAAAACAATAAATAAAGCAGTAAAGAAGAAGAGAATTGAGAAAAACCTCCGTAGCAAGCTTTATATTATGATTCTTGTACAAAGAGGACGCGTTTCGGCAGTCCTTTGCTCTACAATTGTTCTCTCCTCTCGATTACAGACTCGACTCGACTAAATTTTCTAGAAGAATCGAATGCCGGAATACAAATTCCTTAACTGATTGTTACCTAAAAAAGGCAATCAGAAAGATCATTCGAGAGAGGGAGAGAAGAAGACAAGTCTCTGAGTTGTCTAGTGTGTGAGGTGTGTGGAATGAGACAAATGAGGCTCCTATTTATAGCATTTTTCGCCCTGGAACTTTGGGACGGCCGTCTGGGTTGGGACGGTCGTCCCAAACGTGTTTTCTGCGTTGTGCCAATCTGGGACGGCCAGTCTGGGTTGGGACGGCCGTCCCAAATGCAATTTTGTTCACGTTGGGACCCCCTGGGGTTTGGGACGGCCGTCCCACATTCGGGACGCGCGTCCCAACTGCTTAATTTCAGTTGGGACGGCCCTCCCAACCCTGGGATGGTGGTCTCGACCTGTTTTGTCCAGCCTTTATATTTTGGGACCCCAGGAAGCTTTCCTTGCCGTTTTCGGACGTGGATTGGTGCCGATATATGTCCGTTGAAGCTTTATCTTCGTGTAGGAAGTCTTCTTTGGCCTTCATTTGACATGTTGGGCTAGCTTTATCTATGTATAGGAAGTCTCCTTTGTGTGGATGAGTGAACTCCGTCTTATTATGAGAGGTCTTTTTTAGTCTTTATCATGCATATGAGCGAACTCCATGTTTTTGCGGGAGGTTTCCTCAGTTTTTGGGAAGCCGGATGAACTCCATCTTCGGGCGAAGTTCCTCTAGCTTTTATTTTGAGAGGCCGGGCAAAATTAGGGGTCTACAGCTGCCCCCCCTTCACCTGCCTAACTAATTCGTTGGTTTTAGTATGCCGACAAAATTAGTTGGTAGGGGAAGGAGTTAACCCTTTTGCCCGGCTATCCTTCGGATGTTGCTCTTTGCTGATCCTTCGGATGATAAATATTTTATGTTGTTGTCTTCAGGATGCTTCCTTGCTAGGGAGGCTGATCCTTCAGTCGATATGTGTGAAGCTTCAGGATGCTCCTTTGATACGGTAGTTGACCCTTTGGCTAGTGAATGAAGATTTTTCCCTTAGGGTGCTCCTTTGATGCGGTAGCTGACCCCTCGGATAATGAATGTGAACCTCAGGATGCTCCTTCGATGCAGTAGTTGATCCTGTGGTTGATGAGTATGAATTTTGTAGTTTTGGGATGCTCCTTCGATGTGGTAGCTGACCCCATAGCTGACGAGTGTGAAGCCTTAGGATGCTCCTTCGAAGAGGTGGCCGATCCTTCGGTTTGCAGGATGCTCCTTCGATGAGGTGGCCGATCCTTCGGTCTGCAGGATGCTCCTTTGGAGAGGTAGCCAATCCTTTGGTCTGCAGGATGCTCCTTCGGTGAGGTAGCCGATCCTTTTGTTTGTAGGATGCTCCTTTGGAGAGGTAGCCGATCCGTTGATTTGCAGGATGCCCCTTTGGAGAGGTAGCCGATCCTTCGGTCTGCAGGATGCTCCTTCGGTGAGGTAGCCGATCCTTCTGTTTGTAGGATGCTCCTTTGGAGAGGTAGCCGATCCGTCGGTGTGCAGGATGCTCCTTTGGTGAGGAAGCTGATCCTTCGGTTTGTAGGATGCTCCTTCGGTGAGGTAGCCAATCCTTTGATTTG